AAAAAAAAAAAAAAAAAAAAAAAAAAAAAATCGCATGTCTTTCTAGGTCCAGTGGCAGCATTTTTACCTAGTCACTTTTCTTTATAAATTAGCCTGATCCTGGCAACGCTGAGATGTGGGCACAACATTGCGAAGGTCTGACAAGCAAGAAAAGAGCTGAACTAATTGATTAGAGCATGTTCCTTTTGCAGGATTGAAGGGCACATAAAAATAGACTGGCTGGCAATGCAATGAATCTTTATACCATGCAGCTAAGAAATCTAAAGCAGATGGCTACACTTTCCTCACTACTAAGTGACATGACGTAATGCAGACTCCAAAACGCCAAGGGACATGGAAAGCCATCAGACGGGGAGCCAAGAGCATACATAAAACACAGATGATAACTGTTTAAGATTGAAGCCTGATACTGCTATTGAGTGCAGCAAACAAACCTTATAAGCTTAGATATCTGTTGGGATAAAAGCAAACCACAACTTACTGTATAAAACAAGGCCTTTTAGGGAAGGCTGAACACCCCTGCCAAAAAAATGGGAATAAGGAAAATAGGACATCTAAATTTAACAGCAAAGTGTCTTGTAAAAAAGAGACTTGTAACCTTTTCTCCAGGACTTGAAATCAATAGGATGGCCATTGCCTGGATGTCAGCTAAAATATTTTCCAGTGGGGAAAATATTAATCTCTGATTTTAGAATTTCTTCAGGCAATGTTACCGTCAACAAATCGACTTGGACGTCATGGAAGTTGCTAGATCAGCAATCTTATGGAACTGGAGTCGTATACTAATAGGCGAGAAAATGAGAAGGCCAAGATTTTCCACTTGGGGGATTTTTGGTGGGTTTGGGGAAGATTCTCAAAGCCTCTTTATTGGGGTCTCAGAAAGAGACCCCTTCTAAGGCTTCAAACACAGAATCCAAATTCTCTTAAAAGTCTTGATCTAAACTTTCCCCCTTCTATCCCATTATGCTTCTGTAACTGTGCTTTAAACTTTACCCCCCCACTCAAAGAGGCTTCCCCACCTCACTGTGCATAACTTATACCACTGCCCCCTTGTTCCAGCCCAAATAAGTCTTCACCAACCCTACGTGTGCAAGAGTCCTAACTATGCCACACCCTCGGACCTTTTCTCCCAATTAAAGCAGATCATCTAAAGTCCCCAGTGTCTCAATTACTTCATAACCGATTACCAAGTTGCTTGAAAATTGCATTGCTTAGCTACCCAATCCAGAACAATGGAAGTGGCGCAATGCTGGCGCCCGCTGCATAAGCACCGGACTGCTTACTAGGGCTGTGCGAAATTTCACCGGCCGTTTCATTTCGACACTGTTTCAACTCATTTTGAGGTTGAAACAGCAAAAATCGAAGTAAAACAACAGGCGTTGAAGCAGCCTTGAAACAAAACGAGCCTAGTCGAAATGTTTCGGCCATAGCACTGGGGATGGGAAGTCAGTGCAGCTGGGCTGACTTCCCATCCCTGGTGCAAGATCTGTCAGGGGTCGGTGCGTCAGCCCAGCTGGGC